GCCTACCCCAGTTACCACTACTGTGCATGTGTGTCGAGGACAGAAAGGCAGATGTGGCAGTGGAAGGTGTCAAAGCAGTTTGGAGAGAAAAACAAAGTAAAGAACGACAAAGAAAAAAAAAAGAAAGCAATTAATCGATTATTAAATTAGTCATCGATTATTTTAATGATTAGTCGCCGACTAATCGTGGCAGCCCTATATGGAATTAAGCAAAATCATAAAATATATCTTCTAATCCATGTAGTATTCATTCACTTTTTTAGATACTTCTTGGAAACACAGGCATATGCTGCTAACTTTACCAGAAGGGAATATTTTTTATCTTTGACAGATGCAAATACTCTGTAGGTAAAGCTGGACTCACCCAGCTGAGACTACACTATAATCTTTTAAAAATCTATGACAGGAACAAAAACTTGAACACMGAGTATTTTTTCCCCATTCCTTTATTTGTTTTTTTGAAAGGAGGAAGTAGGTGGAATGTATTTTGTCTTAAACACACCCTGGGTTTCTGTCTGGCAGAATATGTATGATGCTGTAAAAATGGTGAATAAAAAATAAATCAGCTTTCTTTTACCAGCCTAGTGGTGTGTAATCCAGATCAGTAGACAGGTGAACACATCTGATTATAATGCTTCTGTTTTTAGTCTTTTTAAATATGCTTTCATTTGAAAGTTTTGCTTAAAACAACTCGTTAATACAGCCAATATTTTTAATGAATAAATATGAAAAACAGAAAAGGGGAGTTAGCATTCTTGTTAAAAAATTGTGGGGGGACGTAAGCTATCATATTAAAGCTGCACCCCATCACGAAGTATGAATTATTGCACCATCCAAATGCATTAAAAGTTACGAAATTCAGTCAGTAACAATCCATCAGGAATGAAGTCATTCGAAGAAGCTGGTAAATGCTCTTAGCTGGCAAAAATAAGTGAAATCGTGCAAACACCCTCGTCTGTTCTCCGTTTTAAAGATACAGAAGCCAAAATGGATTCCTTTCTGAACCACTCCGTTGGGACAGTTGAYCCTAGGCATCGGCCAGCCGATATTTTTGGCTGGTAATTGCGTTTTTTTCCTTGTATCGCTATCGGTCGATACGTTCATCTGATCCATTCTTTGGGTCACACGAGTGCATGTTGCCGCCCCCTCCCTGGGATAGACCAGCTGCTAATGTGATAAGACAGAGTGCTAACAACAATAAGGTAGGGCTGCGCGGTATATGCGGTAGACGGTAGAAACGGTATGAAAATGGCCTACGGTAGAAATTTATACTCTACCGTCCTATCATCAGTTACGTCATCATGTGTTAAAAAGGCTGTGAGTGCAGAGACAACTGTGCAGGAGTTCGAAACATAATGAAGAAATTCTAGCATTTTAAAACACGTATAGAGAGAATAAATCCTCAAAATTTCCTCCTCCCGCTGTGGAAAAGTTTCGTCGTGTCGTGGGATAATTTCCTTCCTCCCTCCCACAATCTCATCTCCTCTCCTCTTGCTGCACATCGCACAGAGCGAAGCTTTAACAACTGTAGTTTTTCATACCCAATTGTCAGAGAAAAAAATGTTTTTTGTGTTGTTACCGACAGAGATTATTAAAAAAAAAAAGACGTGGACACTCGTTCAGTCGTAAATCCATCTTGCTAATGTAAAGTCGGCTTCTGCTCTGATGATGAAGATGAAGATGAACGCGCAGCAGAGCAGCAGCTGATAATTTCAGCAGGAAGAAGCTCATTGTTTGGCAGGCAGATATTAAAGCAAAAATGTTGGGTTTAATTAAGATTACATTTTTTTTGCAAAAAAAGAAAAAAGCTCTAAAAATTACATTATCTTAAAAGGCGCAGTGTGTAGGATTTGTTGTTTTCAGCGACATCTAGTGGTTGAGTGATTGAATCATTCTCGACCCCACCCCCACCCCCCGCTTCCAAATGCAAAGGAGTTGCTAAGGTGTCTCTCAGGTGTCAAAAACCTTTGATAATTCCAACCGCGATGTCTACCAGCAGCTTCAGGGCTAGTGATGGTTCAAGTGATAAGATTATGAGCTTTAATAAGTAAAATTATCCCAGCTACAATGACAGACAACAAATATTACATTTATAGTATTACAACTAAAACCGTTTTTGACGCCGCCACCGCAGTTTGTCCTTCATGAGCCTTTGTAGACAAGATGGCGGCTGCCTGTAGGGCGACCCGCGACCATGGAGATATAAACAGCTTTTTATAAGGTAAAAATAATAAAACAAGGTCTTTGTCTGCAATGATTAGACATGTTTTTTATTATTGTCATTAGTGATTATCTCAATTTCCGCTAAAAGAATTGACAAAATCCTACAAACTGTGCCTTTAACTTTTTATGAAAWTTTTTTACCACGATATATACAGTTACCGTGAAGGGGTTCATTTTATACCGTGATATGAATTTGAGGTCATACCGCCCAGCCCTACAATAAGGGTGAGTTATGAACTTTTAATGTGTTTTAACTGTCTAACAGTCTGTGTGAGTGAAGTCCTCACAAAGATAGCATGTATGTGTGTGACCCTCTCCTTTTTCTCTGTGTTCCTCTGACAGTTTTCTTTAGGCTTGTTGCTGTTTTTGCATCAAAAATGCTGGGATATTAAAATCGTCATTTTATTTTATGTAAAAAATATATTAATCTGATATATGATCTAATATACAAATAAAAACCGAATATTTAGCACTAGATAAAATAAATAAATTATTTATTTTTTTTTTTTTTAAGAAAGGGCTGAAAGAAGAAATCCTGTGTGGCAGCACTTCATACAGCCTGCTCCAGACATGGCTCAGTTAACAAATGGTTTTTTTTGTTTGTTTGTTTGAGACCTATGTAATATTTGTTTGTTATCATTTTTATTTTTATCATGTTAATGGAGGAAGAAAAAGTAGCACCTGCTTCAAGAATTGACAAAAAATAAATAAATAAATAAATAAATATTTAAAAAATTGTCTGCACGCATCGGCGTATCGGTTAGACCAGTATTTCCCAAAGTTGGGGTCAGGACCCAAAGTGGGGTACCAAAACTCAAGGTGGGGTCCTGAAAAGATTTTCTGAATTGATTACATTTTTGCCTTAGTTGTTACAAATGAGTGAGGTTAGTACTGTATATTTAAAATGGATAAATGTAATATAAAAATATTGTTACTATGCCCATGTTTTGTTGACCTGATACAAATGTTTAACGTCCAAAAATAGTTGGGGGCACAGGTCTCTGCTACTGTTATTTTGTGGGTCAAAAGCTGAAAAGTTTGGGAACCACTGCACTTTGGTTCCCAAAGTTGGGCTTGGGACCTGATTATGGGTCATGAAGCACCTTGGATAATCTCCAGAAATCAATTTAAATGGTAATAAAATTATTGCTGATGTAATATTTTTCCTATAATTATTACAAAAACACAAACTAAGTAAAAATAAGTATTTATATTTGTGTACATGCTGTTTAGATTGTCAAAAAGGCTGTTTTTAGGGTTATTAACGAAGTTCGTATCCTCAGACCAGTAATATTTGGGGTCACAAGTTTTTGCCATGAATATTTTGTGGGTCAGAAGACAAAAAGTTTTGGATCCACTGGGTTAGACTGATGTGAAAATAATTGATATCGGCCATCTCTAGTTGAGCCCACAGCTGCACCGGGAGTTACACTTGAATATGGTCTTCTCTGGCCAGATACGGARACAAAATCTCATCGGTTAATTTGTTATCAGCATAAAGTTTCACCCCTGCATAAAGACAAATAGGAAACAACGATACGTACGCTGTGGTTGACAAAATGGGAAATGTTTCCAAAGTGAGCTGCATCCACGGTGTACACATCATCCACGTAGTCCAGATCAAACAGGTATGTGGAGCCTTGGCGATCGTAGAAGTGACCCCTCTTCTCCGCCTCATCGGTTGTGATGATCTGAGGAAAACGTCAGACCAATATTTTCATACCAGGAATAATTAAAAGTTTGGAAACCTGTGGATTTAGTGCAGAGACAGAGTAATTAATTGGCCAATTAAAAAATGGGTGACACGGTGGCTCAGTTGGTAGAGCTGAGGCCTCTCAGCAAGAAGGTCGCCGGTTCAAATCTCGGCTCGGGGACCTTTCTGGATAGAGTCTGCATGTTCTCTCCGTGCAAGCGTGGGTTCTCTCCGGCTTCCTCCCACAGACCATAAACATGACTGTTAGGTTTATTGGTAACTCTAAATTGTCCCTAAGTGTGAGTGAGAAAGTGAATGGTTGTTTGTCTCGTTTGTCTCTATHTGTGGCCCTGTGATGGACTTGCGACCTGTCCAGGGTGTACCCCGCCCCTCGCACTGTGAGTACTGGATATGGGCACCAGTGACCCCTGTGACCCTGAAAGGAAGAAGAGGGTATAGATAATGGATGGTTGGACTTAAAAAAGTGGGTTTGGGGGTTATTTGTGGTGYTTCTGGCATCTGGAAAGGAAGCACCAAGGAGGTGTTCTGGGCATGTCCAAGTGGGAGCAGAGCCCGCGGAGGAACTAGGAGATGCTAGAAGGACTATGTCTCTTGGCTGGCCTGGAATCTCCCTGGAATCCTCCCAACTTTGAAACTAGTGGCAAATGGATGAATGAATGAATTGATTTTTAAGTATTTTAGTTTAATTTTTCCAGAGGTAATGCACAGAAACCAGTGATCTGATACAGATGAATGAATTAGATAAAGACTATATAGACATGGGGCAGTATAATTCCTAATGCGATCAAATGTTTTTACTATTGAATATTGTTACTACTGAATTGATAATCCAGTCATCTCACCTCTCCAACGTACTCCATGACGAATGTGTTCTTGTTGATGTGCTGCATCGTGCGAACACCCCACCCTCGGCCGTTCTCCGTTTTAAAGATGCAGAAATCAAACTGGATTCCTTTTTGAACCACTCTGTTGGGACAGTCGATCCCACAGCTGCACCGGGAGTTACACTCATATATGGGCTTCCCTGGCCGGATACGGACCTGGCCCTTGTTGTTGTAGGCCATACGGTGCAGAGAGGCTCCTGGGCAACAGCCGTTCACGGGTTCTTCCACACAGTTCTTGCATTCACAGCCCACAGCCATCTCATCCAGCACAATGCCTGGACCAACTTTGTAGTTGTTAATGTAGGTGAAGTTTTTTGGAGGACCTTCCAGGTCCACTTCGTTTGAAACCAAAATACGACCTGGGTGATTACGAGTCTGGTTCAAGTGGGCCTCCCATTGCTGCAGACTTTGACGTAGTTTGGCTTTCTGAACCATAAATGAAGACACATCCTTATCCAACTGCTTAGGGAGGGTTCGTTTCTTCTGAAGCTTTAGGATCAAATCCAGGTCTTGGTGGAACACTTTCATCAGTTTGGGACATTTAAGGTTCCTCTTGGGTTCCCAGGAATTAACAGAGTGAGGGAAGCCTTTCCACTTGACCAAGTAGAATTCTTCACCCTAAAAAACATAACAAGGATTTAACATGGACCAGTACCTTGTTAACAAAGTCAAACACAGACAGAACCAAGAAGTGTAAGTAATCTGACCATCTTTCACACCAGACCCGCACCAGACCTGGACTTAACCTGACCATCATTCATCTTGTTAAAAAACACAAACCCATCCGCATTGGGCATATGATGACAACATGTAACCGTGTTTTTATTTTGGGACATATATAAACTGTGATGTAATTGAATCATTGTTTAATCGATAGTTCAATGTGGACTGTTGTACTGTTACACCCCTAGATGGCAGCATGGAGCAGCTAACATTAACCCTAACAAGAACTTAATCAGCTGAAACACCACAAACCAAAGTATAAGGAAAGCCAGAAAATTTAATCTGAACATCAGTCACTATTTTTAGTCCTAGAGATCAAGAATTAAACTTGATTCACCTTGTTATTACAGACAGAAGTGAATGTAAGTTAAGAACTATCATGTACTAACCATCATTCATCTTATTAATATAGACCCCAACAATACCAGGAACTGGGCTTCATTCAACCATCCTTCACCTCATTAATAAAGACACACCCCAACTGGTCCAGGAACTGATCATTATCTGGCCATTCTTCTCCATGTTGATAACAAAAGACCCAATCCACACCAAGAACGGAACTTGACCTGACTATGATCGGTCGTAAATAAAGACAGATCCAAACCAGATGATGAACTGGACTAAATGTAACCAAAGACAAACCCAGACTGGACCCAGAACTAGACTTCACCTGGCCAGGGGTAGACATAATGACAAAATCTGGTTGTCCAAAAAAACTCAATAAAAATGTAATTTAATAGGTAGGCTCTGTTGTTCTGTAGACAAAGTTGACAATATACAAATGTTCTCAGTCAGCCAGGTTGACAGTTTCAGGAGCTGCTTGAGTAAAACTTCTTCATTCTCCTCCTCATCCTCTTCTTTGAAATAGAGAGCAAAACATTGCTACTTAAACTTTTCAACACCTAGAGGTTTCCCAACATCCATAAGCTTTCTGCGTACAGGTCAAACATTTCATTTAAATAGGAGTAAAATGTGTACATGACCTTATTTATGTTACAGTTTAGTGTTCTTAGGACTGAAGACTTTCTGAGGAAAGAGGTTTTTAACAGCTCTTCTGTCATTTTAGTGTTTTCAACTGAGGAGCTTTGATATATAAAAACTTATTGCACAAGAAGTTCTCTGTATAGAAAAAAAAACATATTTTTTTTACTGTTTTTTTTTTTTTCAACCAAACTGACAAGTTTCTCCACTAAAATTATTGTGTAATTTAAAGGCATTGAAACACCTGGTTAAATTTATAAGATATTTATGATAAACTACAAGCAACTGAAGCTAAGTCAGAGAACTCTGTGATTTTAGAAGTCAAACGTAGACATGTCTTTGTTAGAAGACCCCCCTCCCCACCTGGGCGGCTGCACCCGGGCGGCTGTGGTCTGCTTGCACCTCCACCCCACCCACATGCGATTAATATGGATTTTTGAGAAAATTACAGATTTTTGATGCTCATTATACAGACAAACATCTGAAGGAGTTGACATGGATGGACTCTTAAGTCCCGGGCTGGTCGGAGCGGCACTGCAGGTGGAGGTGCAGCAGCTGGAGGTGCAGCAGCTGCGGTCAAACTGCCTCTCAGCCCTCGCTTTAAAAGCAACGGTCAGGTGATCTGTCGTGGTTTAGTTGTGCTCGTGAACACACAGTGTTACAGTGGAAATACTGCGAGGTGCTTAGAAATATAATATTTATAAAATACGACGTAATCCTCGGTGGAAAATAGTCCAGGAAACACAGAGCCCCAATATTTTTTTATTATAAGAACTTACTTTGTGAAAAATTTGCCCTAATAATAAATAGAAAGTCTCCATCAAACAGCTGTGCTGGGACGACAAATTTGTAAACAAATAATATAATTCTTCAACTGAAGACAGGGGCCACACAAAATCAGTTCAGGGGCCACAAATGGCCCCCGGGCCATACTTTGGACATCCCTGACCTAGTAGCATGACATTTATTAGGAATAAAGACTTCTGAGTTCTGGTGCATTTGTGCGTGTGGGGGTCATTATGTTACCACTATGCGGTGTCTAATTGATAAGGTAACCATGCTGTGGCTTCACCTGTTGCATTTTCTTTTAAAGAAAGAAAAACAGCTTGCAAAGCTGTCGCATCGGTGCTACGTGATTTAAAAAAGGCAGTTTTCATCGTGCGTGTAATCTCACACACACAAACACGCATGCCTTTCTAACTTTGTGAGGACCACACACAACGCTCACAGTCTCGCTCTGCGCAGTCTTTTTTCCCCCAAGTTTGGCGAGAGGTGGATATGGAGGAGCCCAAAGACAGCTCTCGACTTGATTTGGCTTTATTTAAATAAAAATTGCTACATGCCGTGAAATTCTTGGAGGGGCGGGCCATATCGTTGGTGGGGGGGCCAGCCCCCCTTGAATAATGGTAGGGGAAATGCTGCTGATTATGTCTTATAAATTATTCCTTCCAGCCTGTAATTCATCAATTCCAGAACATTAAACAAAATGAACAGTGACCTTCAGAGGTGTGCTGTAGGACTGCTCAAGTCATCATTAAATTGTCCCCTGAAGTCTTAAAGAACACTAAATATCTGTGAGCCTTCAAACCTGAGAAAACTGATATCATACCTTGGTTCTCTTGTAGTCACAGAGGAACTCCACCTCCCACTCATTAACATTGGCTTTGTTCACTCCAAGCTCCTGGCAGTGCAGCATCTCCATACGACACAAAGCTTCCAGCTCATCCGAACGCAGCTTACAAGGAACACTGCAGGGTGGGAGGTCAGAAACCAGGACACTGCAGTCTGGGACACTGGAATCAGAGACACTGCAGTCTGGGACACTGGAATCAGAGACACTGCAGGCTGGGATACTGGAATCAGAGACACTGCAGGGTGGGACACTGGAATCAGAGACACTGCAGGCTGGGACATTGGAATCAGAGACACTGTAGTCTGGGACACTGGAATCAGAGACACTGCAGTCTGGGACACTGGAATCAGAGACACTGCAGTCTGGGACACTGGAATCAGAGACACTGCAGGCTGGGACATTGGAATCAGAGACACTGTAGTCTGGGACACTGGAATCAGAGACACTGCAGGCTGGGACGCCAAGATCTGACATAACAGAATCCAGTACACTGCAATGTGGGACACAGTCTGGGACATCATCTGAGACACAATCCAAGAGACATTCTGGAGCACTGCAGTCTGAGACACCAGAATCCATCCCGCTGCAGTCTGAAACACTGCAGTCTGTGAGATTAAAATATAAAAAGTTTGGGTTAAACTGTGGCTGAAAGCAAAGTTTATTTACCAGTTTCCTTTAAAGACTAGCTAAAGGCTGTGTTAAAGGTACTGAGCAGTGAACACTTGTTTTAATACACACTGGCCTATCTGATCCTCACATCCTATCATTTCAACCTTTTATGCTATTTTTACGATAATTTATTGCTAACGTGATGGTCTGAGTACACACGTTTAAACAATTAAACATGTTCGCTCGGTGTTGTTTAGGTAAGATAACACTGAATAACAACGACCTCTCTCTTTATGATGCAAAGTAAACTTAACATAAAGACAATAAGTTCTTTTTTTTTTTTTTTTTTTTTTTTTTTGTACAGTAATCTGAGAGCTACCGCTTCACCTACAAGCATATAAAGAACAAAACTTACCGTCATTCCGTTTACAGACAAAACAATAAATACAGGCTAAGTCTGAACATGCACAAATTAGTCTTTTGTTTAAATTAAAGTTATTTTTACCTTTAAAATTCTCCGCCATGTTTCCACAAAGCCGCCAAAACAGAACAAACTAGTCAAGGCGGTCCTTCAGCACGTTGTGACGTACAAGCTGCTGATTGGATGAGCGTCAACTTTCAGCCCTCCCATTGGCTCACTGARAGAACGACCAGTACAACTGAACGCGATTAGCTGGTTCGAGTTGAACTCCAAGAACAGTGACTCCTATTGACCCGTTGCACCTACGTCACCAAGTCACGTGGGAACACTGTGACGGACTTCAGCATTGAAATAATAAACGGACAATGAAGGATCAACACGTTTAATAAATCATAACTCGCTGAAAACTGAAGTGACGTCACGCATTTTCTTTAGCTGCAAACCTTATACATACAGCTAGCTTAACTACAACTATAAGAGCACATTGTTGTGCGTATTTAAAAAATGTTGGGGTTAATGGTAATATATTTTGCAAAACAGAGTGATCCGTGCATATATGTACTTATGCARATATACACATATACATACATATGATGTGTATATACAATATAAATATAATATATATTATATTAATATGTAACTACATATATAATATTAATGTATTATAAAGAGGTATTACCGGTAATGATAATAAAATGATTAGGCAATGTAAATATAATTTATTAAAAACTTTCACTCAAACAAAGTACAACAATCAAAAAGACATAAAAAAGAGAAAAGTTCTGAAAGAAAAGCGTGAAGAGTGAAGAAAATATCATAAGAATAATTTCAACTTTTTTCTACTTCTCTTGTATGAATGTAATGCTGTGGCGATGTTTTAATTTACAAATTTTATTATTTTTATTTTGTGAAGTGTTTTGTGATGTTATATCTAAGAAAGGTGCTATATAAATAAACTTTACTTACTTTACAACAAACCTAACCTTGACCAGTTTCCAAATTTGTTAAAAAATAAACAAGAAAAAACATGTCATTTGTATCATATTTCCTTAAACTATGGGCCGCGGCCCAATTGTGAGCGCTTTTCAGTTTCAAATATATATTTTTTTCAATTTCAAAATTGTTTCTCAGTTTCAAATCTCATTTTATCAGTTTCAATTTTTTTTTATTTTGAACAAAACATATGACCCCAATTTAGCTC